AGGAATTTGGCCCTGAACTGCTGCTTCTGTTTTTTAAAAAAACCATACTTCCATGCCTCCTCCTCTTCTGTGCTCTCTCGATTTTAACCAAAGAGCCAACCTGCTCTACACAGCAGGGTCAGGTCTGAGTGGTGACGGGGGGGTTAATGCCCATCCGCTCTGCCACTTGGTGCACCCGCTGCTGAGGTGAGATCGCTGGCACGCTATGGTTTAGTCAAACAGAAGTGGGTTAACCTGCGCATTTAGAGATACTACCCCTCCTCCACACTCCTCTCAGAAACAAAATTGGATTAAAACCACCTTATTGATTGGTGCTCAGTCCTTCCCAGGTGTTGAGCTGGGGCAGAAACGTGGTGATCCCTTCTCCCTCGCGCTCCCAGCAGCAGCCCCTCATTTTGTGAGGGAGGAAAAAAAATCCAGTTTTCTCCACCAATACCATTCGTTTCTTCCTCTTCTGCGGCAGACGACATGTCCCTGCGAGAAATACGAGCTGTCACTCATGTGGGAGGACGCCAGCAGGCTCAGGCAGGGAGCTCCATCCTCCTTCCGCCTTCCTGCTCCAGCTCCAGTCCCACCAGCTCCCGGCCGGGGCACAGCTGGGAGCTCCCAGGAAGGCAGCAGGCAGCCACCCTCACTCGGAGACCGCAGCCAGGCTCTATTTTGGGCTAAAATCCTTCTGATGGTGTTAACATCAACCTCTCAGGAGGTTTCTCCTCCCACACAGTCACAGCTACAACTACTCCTGTGCAAGATGCAGCTTAGAACATGCACTACCACGTACCTCCCAGATGTCACCAGTTCCTTTCCCGTCTGTGTGGGAGATCTCTCAGTCTGGGGTCACGTATTACTGGGGGCAGGAGGAGTCCCTAGGCTAGCACTGGGGCTATTTGGAGTGTGGGGACATCCAGAACAGCCACAGGGCTGTGCTGCGGGGTACCTCAGTGGCCTCTCATTTCCCAACCCTCATGTGTGAGGCGCAGTTCAGCAAGGCTCGGTCAGCAGCAAATAGCCCAGACACTGGGCTGTGAAGAGACTAGGAAAGCCCTTGGTTTCACTGCTAGGCAACAGCAGAACTGTCAGCTGACAAGGTGGTGCTACTGCCGTTTCTGCCAAGACATCATCTCGGTCTCTGTGGGGCTGCTGCGTTGGACAGTGCAAGTGCTGGTCGGCCCAAGCATGCTGCAGCTCCTCCAGGTCTAGTACACATCGAGTAAACCCAGCCCGTCTCACACCATCCCTGCAGTGGGGCATCGATCAGATGTGGGAGTCTCGGGTTCCTCAGAAATAGGAGGAAGCTGCAGCCCTCTGATTCCTGCATGAAGGCCTTAGCAAACCAATCCAGCAGCACTTTGAGTCACAGAATCCGCTGAGAGCCTGTATAGTGCCATCTCCCACTGCCTTAAGACCTGTTTTTCCTGAGCTCCAGGTGGCTCAGCTCTCGGTGGAAGCCCTCTGCCTGGTTTCAGGAACCAGAAACAGAGCATGGCCACTCTCATGTATTTCTGGGTGTCTCCCCACTCCTGCTGCTCCTCATGTATATTCAGAAATGCAGATGGTTCCCTGCCAATCCACATCATCTGGGTTCACCCTTTCTTTTAATGTAACATCCTAATTCAAACGCTGCAGCGCAGGCTCAGGGGTGCCCAGAATGCCTACATAATGCTGAGTAACCCTACTACAGCAACAAAGCAGCATGCATTCAGTGGTGTTTAACTGGAATGTTTTGGGGATTTTCCAGTACGGCATTGTTCTGGATGCTGGTCCATCCCGCATTATCCTGTTCATTTACCAGTGGACCACCAAGGCAAACAACACCGGGGTGATCAGGGAATGCAGCTCCTGTCTCGTGCAAGGTAAGGTGCCTGATTCAGGCTCGGTGGTCTCTGGGAGTGGCATGGGGTGGATGGAAACCCAGAGTTCTCTGCATGGACCTTCACCGCTGTTTCTTGGCTCCTGTACCATCTAGCTGTACACTGAAATAGTGGTGATAGTGAAGCACAAGCTGCTCATTTCCAGCATGGATCTTCTCATCATGGGCAGATTTGGCCATATGCAGCTGGATGTCAGAGCACTTGGCAGTAGCAGGTGACAGCTTTTTTTGCCTGCTGCAGGCAGGGAAGCACATGGGGAGGATAGGGCTGGTCCTGATGTCCGCATGGATCAGTGACAGAGCCAAGACTGCTGTGCTTCTCACCCAGGTGAGACAGTGAACAACAATGGAGACAAATCTGGTTGCAGAGTGACTCCTGGTATCTTCTGCTTCCTCCTGACTAGTCTGGCCAGTAAGCGGTACAGCTCCAGGATAGCAGAGGTGCAACGTCTCCAACCCCTATGGGGGGTTTAACAGCGAAAGTATGAGTTCAGCTTGCGTTTAGGTGTCACATTTTGGAGAATACTGGGGTCTTCCTCAGTAGTTTGAAGCAGTTTGGCCTTGCCAAAGACAGATGAAAGGGTTTCATGCATTAATGCTTGGGGTTTTCCTTCCCTATCTCTCAATCATGCTTTGATGTTGAAGCCTGGTTATAGTGGGATGCCTGGAAGCCCTGATCGCTCAGTAGCAGTGTTCCGTGTGAAGGCAGCTGCGAAACAACCGGGGAAGAGAGTCTGTGCCCTTGCAGGCTGTCAGCAATACAAACCACATTCAGAAGATGCATTAAGGGCTCCCTGAAATCTTGTCTATGTCCCTTTGCTGCCATGTTCACTGGAGGGGTTAAAACCAGCAACCGTAGCTCGGTGCAGCAGTTTGCCAGCAGCAGCAAGAGACCCAGGCAGGTCTAGCCCAGAAGTGAGAAGCAGTCCTCTGCCTGCATGGCAGCGCAGTCACAGCCTCTGAGCAGCCGTAGGAAAGCTTCAGCTCAGCCCTACAAGGGGCCCAGGAGAGCAAAACACATGGTGAGGGAGTCGCACAGCCAGGAAGTCTAGTGGGACAGAGGATGGGGAAGTGAGGCTCTTTTAGTACCCAGTAGTTGAACTGGGTAGCAGTTCAAAACCAGCATTTAAAACCCCATTGAATCTTGCTGGAAGGACGAATCAAGGCTTGCGTACAGCTTCTCTCTGCTCAGCACCAGCTTCCTCTAGAGCAGAAGTGCCTTGCTTGCAGGCACACGGCTCCACCAACACAAGAGGAAGTGGCAGAGAGAGGTGACACATCAGCTCTGTCTGCGTGGCAGTATGTCCTTTTGATTATCTCTCAGAGCAGCTAAAGCCACGTTTCTTCCTCTGGGCTGAGACAGCCTCAGCTGGTGCAGCAGTCGTGTGGCTGCTATGTAGTCATTTATGGGATGTCTCAGCAGCAGAGCCGGGGTTCTCTTAGCACAATTTGGGATTTCCATACACATGTGTT